TTATATATAATGAATTAGTACAATATTTTACACTTTATACATTGCATGGTAAGATACATGAGTGACTTAGTACCACATAAAGTTCCTATGAGGTTCAAAATTTTCACTATCTTCATCATCTCTATGTGTAGAGTAAGTGTATTGTGAAGAGTAGTCAGCAACCATGGCAATGGCTTTCAAGAACCAAAACCCAAAAGTCAATAGGAAACCGAATACTTCGGTATTTTTCAGGATTTCGGGATTACCAAACAAATGGGATTTGGAAACCAATCCCATATCGAAAATTTCGGTATTTTTGGGAATTTTTTCCAGCCCTACATGTAAGTGACCAAATAAAAAATAGAAAAATTAAAAACCACATGCCATTGACTAAGTAATTAATTGACATAATTTAAAATATAATACCACAAAAAATTTGGAATATGTGCAAATTTGTTTCTTGCAAAAAGAATTCAAAACAAAATCATATATATAAATATTTTAGCATATTTTCATAAGAACATAAGTGATATGGTGGTCAATGCGTTGAAATGAGTCAAATGGGAGGGGTTTGAATCCCTCTATCCTCAAGGTCGTTTTTTGAGATGACAATATTTCGTGACAAAAATACTTGAAAATTTCTGAAAAGTCTCAATCTTGAGGATAGAGGGATTCGAACCCCTCCCCGTTTGACTCCTTCAACGCCTTGACCACCATATCACTTAAGTTTATGTGAAAATATGCTAAAATATTTATATATATAGTTTTGTTTTGAATTCTTTTTGCAAGAAACAAATTTGCACATATTGCAAATTTTTTGTGGTATTATATTTTAAATTATGTCAATTAATTACTTAGTCAATGGCATGTGGTTTTTAATTTTTCTATTTTTTATTTGGTAACTTACATAGGGCTGGAAAAAATTCCCGAAAATCTCAAACCAAACCGGAAAAGTCCCAAACACAAACCGAAAAATCCCAAACACAAACCGAAAAATCCCAAACCAAAACCATCCCGAAAAATACCGAAATTTTCGATATGGGATTGGTTTCCAAATCCCATTTGTTTGGTAATCCCGAAATCCCGAAAAAATACCGAAGTATTCGGTTTCCTATTGACTTTTGGGTTTTGGTTCTTGAAAGTCATTTCCATGGTTGCTGACTACTCTTCACAATACACTTACTCTACACATAGAGATGATGAAGATAGTGAAAAATTTGAACCTCATAGGAACTCTATGTGGTACTAAGTCACTCATGTATCTTACCATGCAATGTATAAAGTGTAAAATATTGTACTAATTCATTATATATAAATGATTATGGTGTGTTTAAACTTCTTTCATTAATTACTACATATTTTCTACACTCACAATGTTTGCCAGCTCGCTATATAATCAACTTAAATCAGTTAAATCCATCATGCAATGCATTTCCTTCCAATGTTTTGTGATAAACTAATAGATAATTGACTAAATAAACATCCTGCAAAGTTTCAATAAAAATTTCCAAGTTTTTTCTTACAATTTCCGTGGTTTTTATTCAATTTTTATCGATATTGATGATATCCCGATATTTCCATTGAAATTTCCGTGTTTTTGGACTACCGATATTTCCGATATCATCGATATTTTAGACCATGATTGAGACTTTTCAGAAATTTTCAAGTATTTTTGGGTTTCATCTCGCGATATTATTGATAATATCGATATTATCACGATATATTAACGATAATTAAGGGGACATTTTGCCGATATTATCGATATTTTGGTCCATGCTAGTAACTATCTATTGTATAGGAAGAAAGATGCTTTATACCTACAAAGCAAATATAATCTACCTGCAAAACAAAAAATAAACTACCTCTTGTATTGGAAGATAAATTATGGGAACCTACATGACGGAACATAGAAATATAAATATGATATAATATACCTCCATTAAAGGAACAAATTTGGAGGGAAGAACACTAAAATATCACCCATGAAAAGAAGAGACCAAAAAGAGGAGAATTGATCTAACAGAGGGAATTGTGTGGAAGAAGGAAAGGAGGGATGAAACGAACTGGGGGTTGAGGTGATTATATGGCAATAACTAATCCTACAATTAAGGGATTAGTTAAACCACAAATAATCCCATAATTAAGAAATTTTGTGTATTTACTACAATTCATAAGCCTAAGGGGTAAATATGGTATAAACCACAAATAAGCATACGTGGAATCTCAATTATTAGATCGATTTCAATGAAGTGGACTAATCCTACTAATGGCTCACAAAATTGGATCTATATCAAGTTATCCCATAAATGAATTAGGACTAGACCGTATTAACAATATTACATGAGCTCTCACTTAAAATTTTGGGAAACTTAGAATCTTCTACAACTTTTTAGTATCTTTTAGACTAAACATTTGTGCCTTTTTTAAATTTGATTAAAGTGCTTTGACAAATAGACACCTCACAATTTTCTGTTAAATTAAATTACATGTCATTATTATATTTTCTTAAAATAAAATGTTAATTATTAATTTCTAAATTTATCCTCTTAAAATTTTGATGCATTTTTTTCTCCTTATTTAGTGGGATATTAGTTATTAACTCTATTATCTCTTTTTCCAATTATAAGTTTTCGATCAAAATAATTTTTTTGTTCTACAAACATTAAATATAATCTCTTTTTTCAAATGGTTCGTTTTATTGATATTTTTTTTTCAAATGGTTGGCGATGCAACAAAGCACTGTGTAATTTTTCCATTTTTTTTTGTCAAACTATTTTTCTTTGTTTTGTTTTTTTTTTTGTTTTTTTTTTTACTTATAGTTGTTGACAAACTATTATTAGGTACAATATATTATGTGTATACTGCCATTAGGTATGTTTTAATTTGTAAAAAATCATTGATTGGTACATTTATTTGCAGTTTTGGTACGTTTAATTTGGTACATATTGTTGATATTGGTACAATACTTTTGATTTTGGTACATTCGATTTCATACACATTATTTATTGGTATGTTTACATTGTTGTTAGTCCCATTTTCTCTTAATGTATTGATATAAACAATTATGTTGGTATGTTCGATTTCGTGAGATTTAAAAATATTTTCAACCATTTTGGGAATAATATATTAAATCGTAGATGTTCATTGCTAAATTGTAGGAAGTATTGTGAAAATAAATTGTATTTAACTAGGGTTTTTTTGTTTACAATTATCTCCAAAGGGGGAGAAGGTAATCAAAATGCTAGATATAAGAAGTTTGGTTCAATATGTTGTGCTTTTTTTTGGCGTGAGATTAAGAAATATGGAGTAGTGATAGGTCATGTAATTTTGGTATAAAAAAATGATTAATTCTAATATATGTGCCAACAAAATGGTGAGAAGAAAATTTTAATCAAATCTCTAAAAGACATAGATGTTTAGTCTATAAAATTCAAAACTGAGTCACCTATATCAAAGCGTCATTGAAATTTTAAAGAAAAAGTTACCACTTGTAAATGAGAAGAAACACAACTAAATTGTAGTACTCGTAGCGTATCAATTTCAAATTAAAATGTTCTAGGAAAAACGCTATGATGCCTCAAGGCTCAAATGCATTTCAAAAGACAATACAATGCATCGAATGAATCTTGTTGTCACCATGAATATTGTTCATTGACCATAAATTATGGAAGGCACGCAGTTGACCGCTGCGTCGGTCCAATCGCTGCTACGTGGACGGCTGTAAAGTTACTTGCACAACGAGGACAAAGCACACGTATTTTTCAACTTTCAGTACTTTTTGTAAATTGAGTAATGTTTGTGAAATTAAATTTAGAGACAAAATTTGTAAATCGAATGATATGTCATTAATAGGAATAAGTATGTTTATTAACTTTTAAGTAATAAATCAATTATCAACTTCAATGTCATTTAATTTTCAAAATTCCGTCTATAATTTTAGTCTCCCTTACATTACCCTATTAGTTAACGGTAGCGAGCTTTCCTCTCCTCCAAGGCAGGCCAAGAAAAGGGATTTGGATCCTCTCCTGAGCCAATGGAGAGGATCCTCCCGACCAACCATTGTGGACCGTTGGATTTTTATCCAACTGTTACAAACAGAGAGATTCTTTTAAAATTACAATAATTATAGCCGTTAAATAAAAATTCAACGGTCCACAATAGTTGGTCAGAAGGATCCTCTCCATTGGCTCAGGAGAGGATCCAAATCCCTTTTCTTAGCCTGCCTTGGAGGAGAGGAAAGCTAGCTACAGTTAACTAATAGGGTAATGTAAGGGAGACTAAAATTATAGACGGAATTTTGAAAATTAAATTACATTGAAGCTGATAATTGATTTATTACTTAAAAGTTAATAAACATGCTTATTCCTATTAGTGACATATCATTCGATTTACAAATTTTATCTCTAAATTTAGTCTCATAAACATTACTCAATTTACAAAAAGTACTGAAAGTTGAGAAATACGTGTGTTTATTCCTATTAGTTAACTGTAGATACCTTTCCTCTCCTCCAAGGCAGGCCCAGAAAAGGGATTTGCATCCTCTCCTAAGCCAATGGAGAGGATCCTCCTGACAAACCGTTGTGGACCGTTAGATTTTTATCCAACGGTTACAAACAAAGAGATCCTTTTAAAATTATAATAATTATAACCGTTAGATAAAAATTCAACGGTCCACAATGATTGGTCAGAAGGATCCTCTCCATTGGCTCAGGAGAGGATCTAAATCCTAAGAAAAGAATCCAAATCCTAAGAAAAGAACCAAAACTTGTAAGGGTTAAGTGTCATGTGATTTTTCTGAAGCAAGTTGGTGGAGAGAGAGAGGGGGAGAGAGAGAGAGAGCATTCAACGGTGGATATGCTGCACCACAGAGCTTTCATTTTGCATCAGCTTCCAGAAAGATCCTGTACGTTTTCCAGCCTACAGAAAACAAACAAAACTTGATATTTTGCACCAACTAAATACAACCATTAAAATATCATCATATTTTTATCATTTTCCAAGGAAAAAAAGGAAGTCAAATTCAATAAGAACACACGTCTGCAGATACCAGCCGCCCCTTTATATATCAGAAGCAAAGTCTGCAGAAGAGCACAAAAACTAATTAATTAAGTTCAATAATTCTTTTTCCCTTAAGGCACTGGAATTTGGAAGTGTTTGGAATTGGAATCCCAAAAAGTGGTAATGCTTCTTTCTTCTTCATTGGTATTCATTTTCTCATGTTTTCAAATGCTTTTATGGGTCTGTTCTTCTTTTAGTTGCCCCTTTTTTTTCTTCTCTTTTTTCAAGATTCATCTTTTTGAAAGAAAATTTTGTAGTTTCGTATGCGTTAGGTTTAAGCACAATTCACTTCAAGCATGTTTAAGACTATTTACGTAGAAAGCATTTATGCTCACAAGCACGTTCGCCAGAAATGTTTTTACTAGAAGCATCTCAAAATTTTATTAGATATACCATCGCTTTAATGACAAAGAAGCACTTTTATGTTTCTCTACCAAACGTTCTCTAAAGTGTTTTTGGCTCTTCCAAAAGCACTTCCGAACAAACCTAACCATAGAAATTAACTATATTGAATTATTGGCTGCATATTGTAATAATTGAGCTTCCTGATACAACTCCGCTAACTCATATATATTATTGCCGACATTTACAGAATTTCGTCATCCGGACAGAACACGCAAAATCATCACCAAAAGCTTTTAATCATGTTGCTAAGGAGCTCATCAACGCCAGTGATTGGATCTGTTCTTGCATCATACGCCTCAGAAAGCCCTAACGTCATCAGCAATCATCACTCAGATCCCAAACCAAACACCTTCCACCAACATACGCCCACCAAGTTCTCATTCCACCAACCTGGATCTCTCACCATCTCACACAACTCCTCACCAATCTCTCCCTCCTCCCTTGATATGGACCGGCATTCGCTAACCGGGTTCCGAAGGGCTCAGTCTGATGGGAACTTGGAAGGACTGGCCTATGCTTCTTGTGACACTGAGGATCAATTCTCTGATTCAAAACTACCCAACATGTTCTCCGCAAGATCCAAGTGCACGATGCTGCAAACTATACCGTCTCCTTCGTTGCATAACTCGGGCGGTTACGACGAGGGCGAGGACGATAGTGATGTGGAATATGAGGAAGAAGAAGAAGAGTTTGAGGAGGAGAATGTGGAGAGAGTGGCGGCGATGGAAGGTGAAAATGTTGGTTTAGAGGAGAAGGTGAAGAACATGAGCTTAACTCGGGATGTGAAGTTTTTGGACAAAATATGGAATACAGGGTTTGAGGAAAAAAGAGAGCTTGCGAGTCAAGAAATGTATCTTGCAAGGGGGCTAGGGTCTGGTGGTGGGGGTGGTGGTGGGGGTGGTGGTGGAAGCGGTAGCCGCGGTGGTGGAGATGTTAATTGGGATGGCTATGATAGTGATGGAGGAGATGACAACCATGGGGTTGAGAGGCATCACAAGAAGCTGGTTGAGGAAAATCCAGGCAACCCTTTGTTCCTTAGAAATTATGCTCAATTTTTGTATAAGGTGAACCTCCACTGCTTCTATAACTTTTGTGTCTTCAACTTTCAAAACTACTCTAATATACGGAGATGAGAATCAAACTCGGGTGTAAGAGGGGACACACTGCCTTGGCTAAACTGACCTAACCCACGTCTGATGTGTTTTCGATTTTTAATTTCCGGTCTTTTTGAGTATACTAAAATCAAATGTTTGTTTCCAGACCAAGAGAGATCTTCATGGGGCAGAGGAGTACTACTCTAGAACCATCCTAGCAGATCCTGATGATGGTGAAGTTATGGCTCAATATGCTAAGCTAATATGGGAGCTACACCATGACCAAGAGAGAGCCTTAAGCTGCTATGAACGAGCACTCCAAGCTGCACCTCAAGACAGGTAGGTTGAATTTTAGGTCTAAATTAACGTAAATGATTTCCGCACACCCTTTACTGTCTTGAAATAAACAGTTTAATCCGGCATGAATGTTAAGGCCTCAAGTTTTGACGTGACTTGCCATTTTTCAATTGCAGCTATGTCCACGCAGCATACGCCGGTTTTCTCTGGGAAGTAGAGGAAGACGAGGACGAAGCTGAAGCGGAGAACGATCCTCCTGCCATGTCATCTTATCTTCATGAGAGAATCATGGCATCCACACGTGCCTAAAACATCTTTAGATAGCTTTGTATGGTGACTAGGTTGTAAAGCCTATGCGGGGGCTGCATCTGTTGTTGTAGTCATAATTTTGAAGCTGAAGAACAATAGCAAGCAATGACCAGAGAGCCTTGTAGACGATGAATACTCATGTAACATTTTTCTGAGACGAAATGGTATAAATTTTTGCCAGATGATTTGTCCTCTAATTTTTTACCTCTTCTGTTGGTGACGATACTCGGAATGGGAACGGAAGTAAATCCGATCACCGGAAAAACAGAATCATAGGTCTTGAAACAAAGGCACGAGAAAACAGAAACAGGAAAGATTAACGAAATCGGAATACCTTCATATAGAAAACTGGAAACAAACATCTTAACACATACCCTCACAACTAGGGGCGTCAGAGGCCCAAAATTCCCCGCTTGAATTGCATGATAAAAACTATCCAAGGGGTACGAAAACTTGTAATTGTAAACGGAAGTTCAAATAAACTTTCATGTGACACTCAAAAAGTACAAATACAATTTGATGAAACTATCTGGAGAGGAAAATACTCGATCGGGAATCTTCTGCATTCGAAAAGCTTTCAATCACTCCTCACGTAAATTTTCCTTTGATATTCTGTCCGTGTGGACATGGAACTTCTAAAATCCTTGCTGGTTTATCGTGTGCCACGCTGATGGAAACCATTGCCTCTTGGTCTGTTGTAATCTCCATCCTGGTAACTACCCCTGCCTGAACCCCGGCCACCAAAACGCCCCCTTGTGGCGTCAGTTTGGTAACCGCCTCTGCCTCTGCCCCTTCCTCCTGGTTGAAAAATCAAAATGCACATAATGAGACCAAAAGTTGAGCAAATTAACCAGTTAACTCTAATGAAAACAGATGCTTAATAATTTGGTAGATCACATTCTAAATGCTGGCAATGCCAATAGACTCACTAAGCTCATGAACAGAAATGATGTGATTCCACGAAAAACCTTGACATGCACATCATACTGATAGATTATACGAGTAATGCAAAATTGATTCCGAGACTGATTGAGAAAAAGCATGTTATCTATCCCTAACACAAAAAATTTCCACAATATATGAAGGCAACACCACTTCCTTGCAGTAGCTGGCAACATGAGGAGTGAGGACAAACACAACCATGAGGGGCATCTCCAGGACTCCACCCAACATCCCCGGTACATCCCCTAACAGTCAAGTTTTTCCAACAGATAACAGTATTCAAAGAATGCAGGCATGGTCTGACAGCATTTAACTTTGCCACATCAAAGATTTCCACAATATATGATGGCAACACCACTTCCTTGCAGCAGCTGGCAACATGAGGAGTGAGGACAAACACAACCATGAGGGGCATCTCCAGGACTCCACCCAACATCCCCGGTACATCCCCTAACAGTCAAGTTTTTCCAACAGATACAGTATTCAAAGAATGCAGGCATGGTCTGACAGCATTTAACTTTGCCACATCAAAGATTTTAATAATATAAGGATAATGAAATTAAGCACTTACTTCCTCGAGCTGCCACTCCAGCACTGTTTGGTCTCCGCTCCTCAATGTAAACTTGCCTTCCAGCTAAATGAATTGGAGATGCCTACAGGGAAAAACATGCTTTCAGGCCATGCACAATATATACAGATCATCACAATAATACTTTGCATTTAACTCTTGATAAAGAATCCCATTGAGATTGTCTAATAACCGACCATATCCCACAAGAAATCCAAATTACACTTTGCATTGAATGATTGAACCATTCATCTGCAACCAATGACCTTAAACGCCAAAACGCCACAACAACAAAGCCCACACATATTTAAGTATAGAGGTGCAAATTACAAGCACGCCCAAAAAATAAATAACAAAGCAAATACAAAGGCAGATAGATCATCAACATTGACAAAGTGCAAGTATGGGAACTCTTTAAACAATTGAATGCCCAAAAGACAAATGCATTATGCCCTAAGAAACCGCAACAGATGCAGGACCACATATGAGGACTGAGAAGACTTTCATCAAATAAAAGGAAATTTGCCTTAATCCAATGAACATTTTGAAAGGTAAACAAAGAACTCAAATCCTTCTAACAAAAAAAATCAAACCTTGAGTGCATTGTGAACGCTAGCAATGTCTTCATATTCAACAAAAGCGTAGCAGACTCCAATTTCCTGCATGCACCAATTTCTACTTTAGCTCCAATCCAGTTCATAGATACTGGCAGTAATTGTAGAGACACTCACCTTGCGAGCCCTAACAAAGACCCCATCAGGTCTAATTTGACCAAAGTTTTTAAACTCCTCCTCGATCTCATCTTCAGAAACCGTAGGTGGCAAATTTCTTACATAGACAGATTTCAGAAGTTCACCTGGAACAATAATTTAACATGAGGTTCAACTTACAAAAGCTTAAAATGTACTAAGTTAAATTAATAAAACTACATCTCGACATACCAAAGAAACTAAAATTTCAATCCTAAATTCCTCATACATGAAGCTCACCAACCAATTTCTCATTTTAAAAATCAAATTATGAATCTTTGTCATACAATTTAAAATACAAAAATTAATAGCATGATCACTCCATCGGTTTCATTCTGCAAAAGAAAATAATCTAATAAATTTATAATACAGTAGAATGCAATATAACCAGGTGTAACAACCAGCATGGTCAACAAAATAACAATGGATAATTTAGTTCGCTGATGTCATAAACCGTAAAATATGGCTCAAAAGCTACCTTCTTCCTCCAGTGCATAACCTTCCTCTGTTGCTTCTGCCCCAGACTCGGGCACAAATGACTGAGCAGAGTTGGATTGTTCAACAGCAGGCTGAGGTGTGTAATTCCACTCTGATGAAGTTTGAGCACTTCTATTATAAGGTTGTGGAGCTGCTACTGGTGCAGACCGTTCTTTAGCAACCCTCAACTATTATTTTTCAGTCATATACAACAAAATATATAGCACAAGTTATAAAAGCAAAATCAACAAAATAAAGCTTAACGGAGTGTAAGATTGTTGTGCAACTGCAGTATAGTCGAAGCAGTTTCCAGCTGATGCACAAAAGAAAAATTCACTCACGCAAAGATGCAGAGAAGGCCATAAAGACATGATCACACAACAATGGGTTTAGGCACATACTATAGAAGCATAAGTTTTCTTTTGAGGCTCTCCCACCGGTTCCTCCACAGCAGCAGCAGGTTCGTCTTGCACATTGTTTACCGCACTTTGAAACGAAGAATATGTCTCCTCTGCAGGAGTTTCCTCCACCACAACTTCAGTCTCAAAATCTTGCTGCACCTGTTGCTCTGGGAGACTATACTTATCAACTGGATCATCTTCTACATCAACGGAGTTCACGTACTCCCTGGGCTCTTCCTCATAAACATAGTCAGAAACTGCAAAAAAAAAAAAATAAATAAATAAAACCTTAGTTATAGCCAATACATACAGACCAACTTTCTCCAGCAAAGTAACATCAGCAGTGTCACAGCACCTGGTGGTTCCGGAAGGGGGCTAGAAGCGCTAAGTTGCATATCAAATCTGCTTTCTGACTGTATGGGTTCAGGATGTTGGAAAACAACTTCATCCTCAATGAACTGAAGCATATCATTGAGAACAAAGTAACCTTTGTCCTGGGGAGCCAGAAAGAAAGTCTGGACAAATTTCCTCTTTCCACTTGATTCCCTTGTTTTAACAAAACCTTTAACCATCACAAGAATACCTCCATCCCAAGAATCACTGGAATTGATTGTCTGGATCTCAATTGAGGTAACACCTAGAGATACTAAGAGTGAATGAATTTGCTGCAAGGAAAAAAAAAAGCATCACATGAGCTAATGACATAACAGGGGCACAAAGTAAACAACACAAGGGTCTAAAACTATCCAACCTACAAATACAAATGAGTCATCTGAAATGACAAACATGCTTGCATGAATGTAGAGGGTTGTGCATTAACATTCAACACCACTTGACAGAGGATCAAATAATGGAGATACAAACCATAAGTTATAAGTCTTAAAGCAGGGGTTACATATTAAATTTTCCCTCGGAATCAACGACACTAAACTTAAGGTGATAGTCAATTCCTACTTCCATACATCTAAAGTTCCCTTTTTATTTATTCTTGGTTCATAATTGGGATGAACCTCATCAGCTACTACTTAAAGTTATCCATGACTAAAGGAAAGCATCGGGGGCCATAAACATCGGGAGCATGTAGTAGAGGTTGTTAACGGTACATATGCAGGGTAAGTCAATTCCAATCCCCTATAATTAGACTTCCACAAACATTTAATTGTAGCTTGACATAATAATAGAGAGGTAGCTTTATATTCAAACTGGGGCACGCTTCTTGGTCTAGGAAACACCATATAGTCCAAACAGTAAAAAATCAGAGCATGCCAATACAAAGTGACTATCATTTCTCAGAAACATATGTTGATTTATCATTGACCAAGAAACTCAAATCCGTGCGAGTAACAAGGCAACAATTACCAGTATACCGGCAGCAGATTCCGTTGCATCACCATCGACACGAATCATGGAGCTTCCATCAGAGTAGAACTGATGAACAACATCGGGTTGCTTTTGAAGAATCTGATAGTACTGGGTCACAAAGTACGAACCCACCTACAAAAACCCCCAAACCATCCATTACACACAATACAAAACCACCTATACACACACAATACATATAAACACACACCGGAAATAGTATAAAGATTGAATCTTGACCTGAACAGCACTAACAGCTCCCGGATAAGAACTCGCCATTGCCTCCCTTCTCAACAGAAAAACATGCAGCGACGGCGAACTCTGTAAAGCCCAACTCGCGGTTATGTCCTTCAACACTCTGATTGGCCGCAGATCCACACACAGAGAGGCAACTACAAATCCGAAACCCTAAACCCCCAAAGGTTTTAGGGCACCTCCGGATTCGTCTCCGTCTTCGCTTTCCGATGACCGGAAGTAAACAGAAGCTCAGAAATGGCGAGAAATCTTCGGAAGAAGAAATGATTCGGAGATTTTTAGAGAGAGAGGGGGGCTTTGTATCTTCCAAAGGGCTCTACTTCTGCTGCTTGCTTCCGGCTTTTGTCTTGTGAGCCTCCGATTCGCTAATTTTAAAGGGTTTTGCGGCAGGAAATTGTGGCCGTTCGATTGCTTCGAATCTTGGCCGTTCAACGAAACCCCAAGCAAAAGCTTGCGTAAAAGGTATGCACTTGGGGATTTATTTACCGGATGATCGTCCTTTCCGGATCCTTTGTGAGAATTTTAGACAATTCTCTGTTTATCGTACATTGTATGATTATTTTTTATCAGTTATTATTTATATTTAATTTTAAATAAAAATTTGATAATGATTTCTGATTGCACGATGTACGGTGAACGGATGTGATTAGAGAATCTCCGAGATCCTCCTCACAAAGAGGATCCGGAGAGGATCCTCATTCATATTCACCGAGCCAGCCACAAGTTTATGATTTTCCTTATCGACTTTCAACTTGGTTCTGAATCTCTAATCTTTTTATAACGTGTCAATTTTCTAGTATCTATTACATGTATCATATTTTCTTAGTTTTTTTTTTCCATTAAGATGAACTAATACAGGAAAGTCCAAATCAGCGAGACTTTTCACAAGTGGAAAATTTCAGTCTAATTTCATCATGGTCGAGTCGATCGTGGGCTATAATATATAGGTTTTATGAGTTTAATTGTTACAGAATATGACTTTCACAACTATTAAACTCAGACCATTATAAAAAAGGCAGATAAAAATCACATGAGTCTTACTTACGAGAATCAAATCTACGTAACCATAATAGAAGAATGGCACATTTTAAAAGATTAGACTTAGAGAATAAAATTGAAAGTTAGGGGCCAGATGGAATAAAGTCATGAAATGGACGGCTGAGATGGTAGCAAGGGGTGTATTGGGAGGAAGTAGTGGACGAGAGCGTGATCAAATGCGGTCCACTTGATCTTTTGGTCGGGGGTTTGCAAACGTGCGCCTAAATTTCCTGATTCTGTGAGGCCGAGTGCAAAGGTAGTAGAGGAAAGGTGGAGGGGTGGTTTTGCCAATTAGGGTTAAAATCATGTGTTCGGAATGGTTTTTGTCAAACAAAGGAACGTGGCAAGGATTGTTAATTTCCGAAACGTCCAAAAGTCTGTCCCTCACCATAACGTGAGGGTTGGGCAACTGACTTTGCACCACCCAAATAAGGTAGGAATAATTACCCAATTAGGGTAAAAAGAACTTTGCTTTTCGGGATTTACTGCCGTGAGTTGTGCGTTGGGACAAGAAGTCGTGTAAATGCAGGTCGATATGACTATTAAGTCTCACATGGATTGACAAAGAAGTTTTTTGTTTGTTTAGATTGTGTCAATGTAAGTTGTGCGTTGCGTCAGGAAGCTGCATGCAAATGCATGTGAATTCTGAAGTATTTATCAAATATAGCAAAAAATTAACTCTTAATTTCAAAAATGTTACTTTTTATAAAAACATTCAAATATATCCCAAATTTCATATAAATAGGCACAAATACCCTCAAATTTAACAATTAAATAAATTAAAGGCTTTTTAACTACTATCGCCTCAAGCTCCGGTCCAACTTCACCCTTGCTTCTACACTCCACCACCACAACCCTATCCCCTTCGACCCCCTCATCACCGACATTGAGCGTCGCCGCGGTTACCACAAGTGGGAGCAACATATTTTCAATCATGCCTTCAACGCCTTTTTTCTTACTAATATTATTTTTAGTTTTAAATATAAAAATAGTTTTTAAAGTTAATCCACATGTCGTTATATGATTATATTTGTAAGACCCACGTGGCGCCACATCGTCATCACACTAACAGAGCAATTGACAGATTTTTCACGAAAAAACTAAAATGAGTGATGGACAAATTCAAAGAAAGACTAAAATGATTCACGATAAACAAATTCAAGAACACTACTATTGTTATCATTTATTGTTAAGGACCAGATTAAGGAGTTATGTTAATGTCACGAATCATTTTGGCTATTTAGGGGTATTTGTATCTATTTAGGTATAATTTTGGATATATTGATATATTTGATAAAAAAACGACATTTTTAAAATTAAGGGTTAATTTTAACTATATTTGATAAATACTTCAATTATATGACACACGTGAATTGACCATCAGGTTCTTCATTGTAACTTGCATCGACTAAAAATGCTTTTAAAATGATTAAAAATATTTTAAGATCACCAAAAACGATTTTGATCATATTTAGCAAAACACTTGCATTTTTATTTAAAATTCCAAAGTGCTCCTAGTAAAAGCCTTTTTACTGGAAGTGCTTCTGACAATGATCCTCCAATGATCCAAACTAACGTAAAGATAAGGGTCGAGCCATGTCGGCATTCGGAGACTTCCGACGGCAATGATATAGTTGAATTTACAGTAAACAACAACTAAATATCATGTTCAAGATCGATAAATTTCTATACGAATACAATTTCCAGGAACGATTAAACTGATCACTATCTCTGTCTCACCCAAAAATCTGTCCGCTACAAAGTACGAACCGATGTTTCCGAAAAACATAACTCAGTATCAGTCAGGTTTCCAAAAGGAGAAAATTAAACTACGTAGGCCAACTATGCAGGCTACTCCAGCCACATCAGTAGTAACTCCCATAATACGCCTGAGGAGCTGATGCGGGTTGCGGAGCCGGTGCTACTGCTGCTGCTGGTGCTACCGCTGCCACGGTTGGATGTGCGTAACTTTGAGGCGGGACGGCCTGCTGAGATTGCAACTAAATTATCAGCTCTCAGAAACTAAACGAAACACCAGAGTAAATGAGGGTAGTACTAATGCTCATCGATAACATACCTGAGGAGGATATGTAGAAGGATAAGCACCATAAGCAGCAGTTTGTGGCGCCACCGCGGGCGCTTGGGGATTAGTGTAGCCAGCTCCATAACCACTATATGCATTGTACGGCTATTGGAACAAAATTTGAACAAAAGAATCAGATAATCATTTCTTTTTTAAGATTCAAAATAACGGGGCAAACGTAAAAATTCATCGTTGAACAACAAAAGATTACTCTATCAAATGAATCATGTCGGAAAACTACCTGTTGGGTATAACCAGCTGGCCACTGTTGTCCCTGTGTAGCTTGCGTAGCTGGTGGCCAAGCTTGAGGCTGCACACTGTAACCAGCTGGCCATTGGTTCTGTGTATTTGGATATGCTCCCATGATCGACTGGACAGGGGATGGAACACCAGAGTAAGCTTTAGCTAGCTTCACTTTATCGGAAGATAAAAAGTCCTCCGCTTGACGTTTTTTCAACTCTGACGTGCTGCTCCTATGAGGTAAGAAGAGCTTAGCATGTCGATCCTCAGCCCTCTNGCTCTTC